GATATGTTGAGAGTTGAGGACAAGACTTATAGCCTCACCTGCTCCTTTGGCACCGAGAGGAGCGTTGTATATGTTTAGTATATGAAGTGAAGGGCTTTGAGGGAGTGGGATTTCAACATAAACAGGGTCGCGGCATTTAAGCAAGGGGGAGATGGGGGTCCGTTGGCTAGCGAGGATCCCAGCCCCTTTTCGTACAAAGGTAAGTACTCTAGGTGGGTCGATATTCCAGTCGCATATAGGCGCGAAGCAGTCGTAGTTTGGGTGGCGCCTAGTAATCTGGCGGCTAATATCTCTTAGGTAGATATACGGCTCCTGAATTAGTACTATATCGACTCTTTCAGAGTGGGCTAATTGTAGTACTAGCTCCTGGTACTCGCTAGACTTGTGAACATTGATTTGTAGGACTTGGAGGCAGTGGCGTTGTGTAAACTCCTGCCTACTCATAAAAAAGTAAAGGGGTTGTTGTCTTGTAGTCCTAGCCTATGGAGGTTGTTGTATGCCTCTTCTACTAAAGTGGCGAGGGGCATATTAGCCCGTTGGAGAATTACAGACGGCGGCGTAAGTGGGCTGTCTGTGCTAGTCTGAGGAGGGGGTTTCTGTGGGGTAATAGGTGGGTCCGGTTCCATCTCTGTGTCTACGCTACTACAGGGGGAGTCTCCCTCTCTTCTTATCCGCAACTCATTACAAGCTTGCTGAGTAGCTCTCTTGTTCTCGGTTGAGGGATGTGTTCCTGAGGCTTTCGGCCTAAGCTGGCATGTAGGGTCGTCAGAGGCATGTGGGCCCATACAGTGTAGACACTTTGGCTTGCACTGAGAGTGTCTATTACAACTCGGGTGGAAGGCTTCAGAGTGTCTGGTAGTACCGCATAGGCGGCAGCGTTGGTTCTTGCCGCAGTTTCTTGAGTTGTGCCACATCCAGCACTTAGAGCACTGTGTAACAGTGGAGACTTTGGGGAGGCGCCTAAAGAAGGCTCTTTTTCCAAGGAGAGAAGTCATGTCAGGAATGGCGCGGGAGGCTATGGCTTCCTCCTCCTTGAAGAATACAATCCAGGAGGTATAGAATAACCCGTCAGAGAGAGAGCTAGTAGCCATATCTACCTTGGTAGGCACTACTCCGGTTCGCTCTTCTATTGCTGTAGCTACTACTTGAGCTGTAGTAGAGGAGAGAGTTGATATAATTGCTCCTTTCTCATTGATTTCGACAGTTTCAGTGCTTCTAGGGATCCCTGATAGGCGGAACACTGCCCAGTCTTGGGAGGTCTCTATTTTAGCTGTAGAGAACAGGGTTTGGATAAATGCTCTCTTTGTTGATAAAAGAGTATCCAGGGCTGCTTTGTTTTTAGGTACAATGGCAAATCCAGTATTAACTGTAAGTACCTCTTGTACAAGCTCTTTACAGCCTATTTTTGGGTCGCAGAGGGCAAGAAAGATGGCTAGAGCAGAGTGTTCCCTCTCAGGAGAGTCGAGGGGAAGTCGGATAAAGACCCTGAGGTCAGATTTGGTAGAGGGACCCTTATTCTTTCGAGGCTTTGAGGTAACAGGAGGCAGAGGAGGAGGTTGTGTTGTTGGTGCTATATTTTCAGGCACTAAGGCATCCATTACAGTCCGTGCGTAGGAGAATTTTCCAGCAGGAGCTAGAGGGGGGGAGGGAGTCGGAGAGGGCGCAGGGCCGCCACCATGCGTGGCAGAGGGGGCTCCTAGGGCCAAGGGTAGTGGGGAGGGCTCCTCTGAGGTATATGCTCTGTGGAAGGCCAGGCTAAGGTCAGCGATCTGCGTACAGAAGGCCCTGAGGTAGGGCAAGAGGTCCGGGGGGGCTCTATCAAGGGCAGTGCTCAAGTGGTGGTCTACTGCTTCTGCGGTGCCTCCAAAGAAGACTCGGCCTGTTGTACCACGTTCTAGGGCTTTAGCAGTTGCTGAGATGAAGTGTTGCTGTATATTTGGGAGGGGGGGGATTGGGCGTCCTCCCCCNTCGGCCTGTTGTACCACGTTCTAGGGCTTTAGCAGTTGCTGAGATGAAGTGTTGCTGTATATTTGGGAGGGGGGGGATTGGGCGTCCTCCCCCCCTTCCCAGGCCCCTTCTCAGGGGCGTAGGCGAGGCCGGAGGTCTCCTTGGAGGAGTCTCCATGGAAGGAATTTAGCTTATTAAGCGAGAGTAAGAGAGATTGAGCGTTTTAGAACAAAAAATTCAATCTACGAAAAAAGGTGATGGTTGCTGAGAATTTGCTTAATTGTACATATAACCACTCCCCTGTTCGATGGCTAGTCCACCCACTTCGCCCTCTTTGCCGACCGGCCGCCGGCTATCGCTTTCTAATTACACCCCTACATGAATAGGACAATCCAATTAGCTTAAACAGTTATACTTTAGGCTTACACCCTACCTTTATCTGGTTTTCTAGTGTCATATGACGGTCTTTTACTCGTGCCCGCAAACCCTTAGAGAGACTCCTTCGGGTGGGCTGTGTAAGCCAAGAGAGGTACCAACATTATTCCCGAAGACTTTCTCTCGCTTCATAAAGACAGAAAGAACAACTGCAGCAGCAGCTCCAAAGATTGCAACAATATAGACATCATCGATGCTAGAAACAATAGCCTCCAGAACGCGTCTCTGGTCAACAGCATCCAATCCATCCAAAAACCTCCCATTGACTCCGGCAATTGCGAGTTGAACGTCTTCAACACGTACACCTGGTAGAACCGCCCCGACCTTCTTAAAGGCCTGATTTACAAAAATGGAATTTCCGATTGCCAAAGAGAAAGTTATGCTGCTGATTTGAGCACAACTGATGAATGCCGTAACGAGTGGAACAGATTCTACTTCAACGCTTGCCTGCGCTATTGCGAAAGGCGCCTGAACGAAGAGTCCAGTCCCAAATGCAATTACGCTGGTGTAGCCATAGACTGAAGGTGTGCCAGATTCTAGGTTCAGACTATGCAACAACGCCGCTCCAGCGGTTGCAAGAAGACCTCCAACTAAAAACAAAGGCATATAAATAAACTTTGGTAGAAGTGCACCATTGAGCATGGTAGAGAAGATAATAACGAAGATGAAAGGGAGTAGTCGGACCCCAGAATCCAACGCTTTATCTCCATGGACGAATTGGAAAAACAAGGGTATGAAATACATTGGCAAATACAGACAGGGAATAGCTACAGCGACTTGTGCGAAGAGAATACAAAGCTCGCGGGAGTAAAAAAACTGAACTGGAAATAGACGATCTTCCTCGGTGGTGAGAAAGTAGAGCAATTGCTGGACCACAAATAGAATGGTGAGTACACTACCACAAACGAGCAAACCAATGATTTGACCGCTCTTCCATGAAAACACAGAACCACCAAATGATATGGCCATCGTCAAAGCGGTGGTAAGCCCAGCGAGTAGTACTGTACCCGTAAGATCTAGTCTCTTGACTTTCTCCTTGAAGGTGGAGGATTGTGATGAGGGCGCGGACGAAGGCAGCAGGAAGATATAAACCGGAGCAACAGCTACAACGCAAAGGTTGAGATAGAAAGCCCATCTCCAAGTGCCTTTGCTGTCACCAATGACGCCTCCTATAATTGGCCCGAGCCTGCTTTGCGTTAGCAACAATGCCGAAACTAAAGAGGAAGAATGCAATTCTTACACGGTAGCAACAGACCATGTCACTCCCAGAAATCCCATGTACAATGGACGCTGCTCGATAGTAGTAAATGCAGTTATTATGGAGATCGCACCGATATAAAGCCCTGAACCACCCAGTCCAGAAAGTGTTCGACCCACAATAAACACATTCACAGAGGAGGCAGCTCCGCACAAAACCGAACCCACTTCAAAAATAATCACAGCGCTTATGAAAAGGTATTTGTTATTGAACTGGCCGTAAAACTTCCCCCTTTAAGATTGCCGAGTTAGCGGTGACATCGAAAATTGCATTGAGCTCAATCGAACTTACCAGACCAAGTTGACACTTACTCCACCTAGTCCAGCACCCACAGATACCCAAGGAAGCTTTTCTATTTCGCCAAAGGTCTCGATTATCTTTGGTTGAAGGACTGCAGTGATGGTTGTGTCAAGACCAAAGAGGAAGGTCGATGATAAGACAGAGACCACGACCAACACCCACAGAGGCCCTTTCAACTTCAAGTTTGTATTTGGCGTATTTCCTCCAATCACTACCCGGTTTAAAGAGTTGGGCTCTATGGCCGCCTCCAAAGCAACATCCTACTTGTCAATTGGATTTGATTCTTTTAGAAGCATTCTTCTTGTCGCAAGCGTGGATTTTAATTCTGGTAACTTTAGGTCTTCTGAGCGAGAGGCTTGTAATTTACCGAAGTGGACTTGGCTTGCGGGTGGCTTAGGCAATTGTTGGTACTACTGTAGGGGTGCAACCGGATAATATCAGCCATTGTCGCACAGCATATAAGATCCAACTTTGACGCGCACCTCATTAAGGGTGGATCATAGACTCAATTCATGCAGAGCAGAGCAGGGAACCCAGTACGGGTGATGTAAAAGCTTGTTCCCCTCTTGCATGTGCGATCGACTTGTACGTAGATCTACACCTACTTTAAAGCTGCAACCAACAACTGGCCCTCCAGCAACTGTGCGATCAACAATCGGTAAGTACAGTACGTGACCTCAACCCTGAAAAATGGATGTGAAAATGACTGCTTTTCAGCACAAAAGGGGCTGCATCCCTCACACTGCTATGAGAAAATGTTAAGTACGCTCATCAAACAAAATTCACCACGCAACCTTCCTATACAGCCATAGGCTAGATACGAAAGATGTGGCGGAGATGCCCCCGATAATGATACTGGGATTGAGACCAACTTATGGTAGGGTGACATTGCATATCTTTGCCACTCCATCACAGCAATGTGTCTAAGACATACTGTATGAGAACATCCGTGAAATACAGATGCCTGGGAATAACGGGATTGCTATGTAATTAACTTTGTTAAAAGCGACAGGAGTGTCTTTCTATTAATTCGTTTCCCATAGAAATGCAACTTTGATGCCCGTGACTTTTTCAGCAGTGTTCCAAGTACCAAACTGATGACACTGATCAAGTGCTATTTCTATGGGTAGTATTGCTTCAATTTCTAGTATTAATTTATTATGACGTTGATGAATTAAGCTCCTCTTTACACTACGCTGGTCAATTGCTCACTTTCTTAGGCCACTTTTTGAGACTTTTCTTACTGACTGATTCGGGCACTATTTTCCTTGAAATTTAGAGGTATTAACTCGCGGAAGTGAAAGTGAAAGTTTGAAAAGATAAAAGAAACTCCTAGTCTATTCGGGATGACTTACACTGACTAAAACAGCTGAGATCATCGACGGAAATATATGCTTGTCAACCTGCTGTTCAAACTTCTTATTCCGTTGCTATGCAAAGTACTAATGTAAAAAAGTAAAGAAGTGACACAGGAATGGTATTTCTGGGAGGGATCCATGAAAAAAGAATGTCATTTTTTTGAGGAATCGCTAAATTAGTGGCATTTTTATCAACTGCCGCTGAAGTAGAATATGATAATAACCTGTGTCTAGCTGTGAAGCATGATCATATCCTTCAATATTTCATTGGCATCCTTAAAACAAGGGTTGATGACCAAGATCCTCGGCTTTGAGCTGGGCAGAAGCCGCTACAGCAGCATTGCACCCGCTTGAGAATGCACCATTGATCACTTTGTAAGGAGTCATAGAATCTCCTGCAGCAAAGATGCCTCTGACGCTCGTCTGGTGGAAGGGAGCCGGGGCGTCAATATTCCCACTGGGTGCGAGCTTCAACTCGAGCTGCTCGACAAAGGGCCCACGGACATGAGTATTAGGGCTATGGACGAGAAACGATTCGGTCACTTTGCTCCCATCTGCAAACTCGATGGTTACATGGGCGCCTGATTTCTCTTTGACGAGACGGGAGATGGTGCGTGAGTCGACGCTGAACTGAGTTGAAGGTTTTGAGGCTCTTTTGAAAGTCGTATCCATTCCCGACTTTAGTTCCTCGTTTCCGTTTGTGTAGATGACCACCTTTTTGCTCATTGAGGATGCACCTTCAGCCATGTGAACTGCCATGGGAATGTTTGCTTGGCTCTGTAATGCTAGGACACCACTTGATGGCGAGTTCTTTTGCTCGTATCCATGACAAAACATGCAGTGGAATCTGAATAAATATTAGCAAATATTGTAAGATCATGAAGAACAATGAGGTTTCCTACATCCCAGTTCCCCAGCACTCTTTGTATCCCGGGATATCAGGAAAGTCATCAGCGGAACCCATGGCAAGGATCAGCTTTTTGCCTCTCCAGACGTTGCCGTTGGCATCTTCAAGTTCGAATCCGGAATCGAGTCTTTTTGCGAATTTGATCTGGGTTTGCTGGAACTTGATGGTTGAATAGTTTGTCTCGATCTCTTTGCGGGCTGCAGTTCGAAACTCCTTTGGATTTTTGTGATCCCATGTCAACACCATATGCATATAAGGGGCATGAACGTTGCGGTATTCTCCAGAATCGAAGACAACGGCAGTGTGCAATTGTCGAGCAAGACTGGAAGCAGCAGTAAGGCCTGCGGGACCTCCCCCAATGATCAAGACATCAGAAAGTGTTGGTGAAGACATGTTTTGTGTGGAGAGACCGAATAGTGTAAGATGTAGATGATTCGTATTCTGAACAAGTATTTATCGTCGAAGATAAATGTGGGAATCACGCTGACTATGAAAATTGTGCCTCATATTTGGACAACGATGATGTTGGATGATGTAGGTCTTCGTTTCCAAAAACGCTCGCTTGCTGGAGCGCAACTAAGCAGACCCCAGCATTTGCTTGACGGAATGGAATCACTCTTCCGTTTCCCCTATGCACCCAGGGGCTGGAGAGCGAAGTTGCATGTTACACAGAGGCTGCACGCTGACAGCCTCCACCTTCCCCCTCTTGGCACCGATTATCCGCATAGGGAGGATCTACTATAATTTGTCTTCAAAGAGTTGTTACACCAACTTCATTCCTGCCTCAACAACATAACAAAATACCTCAACGGCCTGCAGCAGTTAGGCTTCCGCTGAAGTGGACGGCTTAGCTGCGCCATCCGGAGGTGCTGCACTGCTTGATAGGCCTCCTCACCGATCTTATGCATTGCAACATCTCGCCAACAAAATCCGATGTACCAACATCAAATAGAGTTGGGATTTGTTTTATCAGCTTCCTAACTCGATACGTCGAAGTGCCGATCCTCCTTTGAGCAGGGCGTAAAAGATAGGTGTGTGTCATGCACCTCGCCTTGCTTGTTTCGACGGCTACGGGGTTACCAGCTGAGTACCAATTGACACTACCATCGCTTCCTTGCCCAGAAAGGTTTTGCTTTTTTTCAGCGAGAAAATTGAGAGTCACTCAACTATAGCTCGCTTTCTTGAAGAAAGGGAGTGTACTTAGCAAGCTGTAAGAGGTGGTTTTATAATTGATCGTATCCTCAGAAGCGTATATATATATTGACTTAATTCTTGATGAAAGAAGAAACCCAACACTCTGATTCAGCCTACGAAATTATATCAACATCACACACACTCATCTACAAACAAAGTAAACTTCTTCAATTTGAGATTGCTGCAAGAACAAATTTGACTGATCAATTCTAGATAATACCGTTTCTATACACAATGCGTTTCACTACTGTCCTCCTACTTTTCGTCACTTCAGCTCTTGCTCTTCCCAACCCAATTGCCGAGCCTGAGGCTGCTCCCGCCGAAATCATTGAGCCAAAGAGGTGCTGTCTTTGAGCGTGGTAGCTTTCAAACTATGTGGTTTTCCACATAAACTGAATGGGGACATGGGAGGGTTCAATGGACTGATTGAGGAGATGGATTTGTGATTATGGAAGTTGCGAGGTACTTGTTGTTGTGATTGATATTGAAGATTAAGGAATTTTGAGGGGGCCAGACAAAGTTGAACATAATACATTCTTTTGACAGCGATAACTTAAGCTCGAATATCAGTGACTGTTGCGTAACTCGCACTATTAGAATTATCAAACTTGAGAAATTGTGCGTAATGTGGGTAAAAACCGCAACTTCCTGACCCACAGTGGAAGTTCAGGGCCAAGTTCAGTGCGGATAGCAAGCGTGTATTTTATACAGTAATGAGGGCATTCAAAGAGAGACTAACACACGCAACCTTTTTCGTAGATTGAAAATTTTGTTCTAAAACGCTCAATCTCTCTTACTCTCGTTTGACAAGCTAAAATTCCCTCCATGGAGACTCCTCCAGGGAAACCTCCGATTTCGCCCACGCCCGTTGGAAGGGGCCTGAAAAAGGGGGGAGTACGCCCGATGCCCCCACTACCCAATATACAGCAGCACTTCGTTTCTGGAACCACCAAAGCTCTAGAACGTGGTGCTATAGGCCAAATCTTTTTTGGAGGTACCGCGGAAGCCGTTGACCACCACCTAAACACTGCTCTTGATAGGGCTCCCCCGGAACTCTTGCCCTACCTCAGGGCCTTTTGCACTCAGGTGGCCGACCTTAGCTTAGCTTTCCACCGAACATACACCTCAGGGACCCCGCCTCCACTACCGTCCGCTCTTGGAGCCTCCCAAAGGGGCAGAGATGGCCCTATGTCTCCTACGATCTCAACCCCCTCTCTGGCTCCTGTGGAAAAAATTTCATACGCACAGACCATAAAGAGTGCCTTAGTGCCTGAGAATCTAGGCACAACCACAGCAGCAACAACACCACCCCCTCCTACTGTTACTTTAAAGTCACAGAAGAACAAAGGCCTCCTAGCCAAACCCGATCTTAGGGTATTTATTCGACTTCCTCTAGACTCTCTTGAAAGGAAACACTCTGCCCTAGCCATCTACCTTGCACTCTGCGACCCAAAAATTGGCTGTAAAGAGCTTGTACAAGAAGTACTTTCGGTTAACTCTGGGTTTGCTATTGTAGCTAAGAGTAAAGAAGCTCTGGACACCCTTCTGTCAACAAAGAAGGCCTTTATCCAAACCCTTTTCCATGCGGCTAGAATAGAGACCTCGCAAGACTGGGCAGTATTTCGCTTATCAGGGGTCCCTCGAAGTGTCGAAACTGTCGAAATTGATGAAAAGGGGGCGATTATATCGACTCTCTCCCCAACTACAGCAAGAGTAGTAGCTACAGCAATAGGAGAGCGAATTGGAGTAGTGCCAACTAAGGTTGACATGGCTACTAGCTCTCTTTCTAACGGACTATTCTTCACCTCTTGGATTGTATTCTTCAAGGAAGAGGAAGCTAGGGCCTCCCACGCTATTCCTGATATAACGACTCTTCTCGGAAGAAGAGCCTTCTTTAAGCGACTTCCTAAAGTCTCTAATGTTACCCAATGCTCCAAGTGCTGGATGTGG